GCTGCGACAATATATCGTTCGCACTCAAGATATAGTGTCACGATTCGGCTGCAATTTTACAGGCAAGAACCATTATTTATCATAAACTGTACCGGAAAGTCTACCCTGCTATTCATTATTTGACCTGGGTCTGCTGGAAACCTCAAAAAGGAATAATTATATACTGCCTTAACTGCTGCGCGGTGCTTCTATATACAAACAGTTCACAGAACTGATCGTACTAATTGGGAATACCACGAGAATAGGAAAGTTACACATGTATGGACAACATTGACATATTTGCATACACCAAAACCACTGGTACCCATGGTGGTTGCTTGTATGAATAAGGAATTCGATCTATTTAACATTCCATGCACGGACCCGTCAATTCACTCATATAGGTTGAGTTTCCCTCTTAAGCCAGTTTCTAGTCAGCTCATCGTTCTCAAAGTATTTGCTAGTCTTCTCCCAAATTTCAGTGTGATAATCATTCACCCATTTCTTCTCTGCGTCACTGAGCAAGCTTGGGTTGATCAATTTCTGACATAAGGGTGTCATAGTAACATGTTCGAAGCCTAACCAGGGTTTCTCTCCGAACTTATGCGTTGTTTTTACCTCCTTGGCCATAATAATATCTATGATAGGTGTCAGTAAGAATAGCAGATTTATTAGCCGATGGGGAAAAAACGGACTTTCGATGCGAATACCAAACACCCCGTCTTCATAGTAACCAGGCTCTACATGATTTGTTAGCACTCCGCATGGCTATCGGATAATACTTAACAATCGCAGCAAGCATACCATCAGATATCACGTTTCCTGGGGCAATGGCAACTTCCGAATACTGAACCCGAGTGCCTAGTCCGATTGGACCTTCGTGGACATTCTTGGGACATGTTAGCGTTTGAAGAAAAAGGATTTGCGAAATGAAGAGCATCATACCAAATACGACCCCACACCATGACCTGTGCCATGTAGGTAATCTAGGCCTTCTTTCCACAGGTATTGCCGTGCAAAAGCATCCAGAGCGAATCCAGTTGTTCCTTTGGGGAATACAGCAGTATCAATACTGATCAAACCCTTCAGAACAAGCGTGTAGGCCTTCTTTTCCATCTCCGTTGGTTCACCGAAATGAAGAGTGCGGGTTGTATCGGTAGTGCCATCCAAGTACTGCGCACCTGAGTCGCATAGATACACGGCTTTTGGGTCGATAATAGAGCAGTTGTTACGTTCGGCCTTGTAATGGATGACTGCAGCATTTGGACCGGTAGATGAGATGGTATCAAAAGAAAGCCCAACGAAATGCTGATGCTTTGATCGGATTTGTTCGAGCTTATCGGAAGCATCTACCTCGTTAAGAACTGTCTTCTTGTTGACTAATTCATTTTCGAGCCACGCGAAGTATTCGGATAACGCTGCGCCGTCGCGAATGTGGCAAGCTCTCATTCCTTCCAACTCAGCTTCATTTTTGATGGCCTTGGCATCCGTGATTGGACTTCGGACTTCTTCCACATTCTTTTCACCGCCCAGGGCAAGACTAAGCGACCATGACGCCCTCGTTGAGATGAGAAACTTCTGGGGCGGCTTTGTTGAAGCTTCACCATCGCTTTTATTTTGAGCAGATTGGCCCAATACTTTGGCGTCTTCGAAAATAGAACCATATGGCTTTAAGGAAACTTTATCACCCAGATAGTTCTTCACTTCAGCTGGTAGCTTCTCTTCATCAATGTAGAGATCGGCGGTTGATTGCGTAATAATAGCATAAGCAAAGAACACGGGGTTGTATGGAATGCTATAAGTGATTGTTAATGTCAGGAGTTAAATTCATGTTGGCAGACGGGCAGGGGTTATCCATACTCATTTCCTCGAAGGTTAAACAGCCAGGCAATTTCATCAAGCATCGCTAAAACAACGAAGTCAGAAACCAAGGAACGTCGACAGGCGGGTTATATACGTACAAATGACGAATCCCGCGCATTTCTTCTTTTGGAGCTCCTTTCGTAAGTCACTGATCTTTTCCTCGAATGACTTTCCCGCAAATTCTATAGGATGGAGAGCCACTTTTTCACTTGGTCGAGCTGGACGCTCCGTACCCCAAACAAGGTCGACTAAATTCTCCTGAACACCGAGTAAGGAACCGCCACACTTTTTTATTGTTTCTGAAAGGTTGCGCGCATCAACTACATTGGGTCAATTATATTCTTGGGAAAAATATTTTCTTAAATGAGAAGAAAATGAGCTTACAGGCAGTGATGAGTGATGGATCGACGCCAACGACCTTGCCTCCCTCAGCTTGTTCCGCAGTCCTATGAGTCAAACTTCAATACACGCTTGCATTATGACATGTTGGATTCATTTGTCCATACCATTCCTGCCAAGTAGGCATATTCTCGAAACCTCTCTTCAGAAGTATCCAGTTGCTATCTAGCTGCTTCGCTGCCTGATTGAAGTATCGTCCATCAGTAGACAGTGCTGCTTTGGTCATCGACACAATGGCGCATCCCGCCGAGCCAGTAAAGCCCGAAATGAATTCTGTATATAATAACAATGATAAGCTAAAGCTAAAGCCTTAGAGCGGACCTTGCTGGCGTGGTGATGGAATTTATATCGTCAAGGGGACAGGTAGCTAACCGCGGCGGCCATCGCAATGCGCAATGTATTCGGATTGATGACTATCTTCTGAAGGCACGACTGTATAAAAGTAAGCATCCAACAATAGGTTCTTGCCAAGGGTTAGTTATATCATTCCATACTGTAGACATCGACTTTCCTCTCTTGCATCAACTCCCTCAAGCGGGCTAGGCGCTGTGACGTATCGATGGGGCCCATATCTCCAGAACGAAATGCGGTAGAAAAAAAGGTTGATCTGGTTGTTGGTCTAATCAGGCGGCTCAGTGGTGGGAGTAGAGGTCGTATGGAAGTCGTAATGGTAGAAGCAAGACGGCAAGAATTGCGGAGAAAAAGCATTCATATATATTGTGGCGCTCCAAAGGATGCGCCGGGGATCTAGCGGGGGTGTGGGAGAAGGTGGCGGGGGCGGGGATGGTGAAATTTCCCAAAGTTCCCCTTCTGCGATAGTTAGTAACTAAACAGTGAACGATGGAGCTTAGCTAAGCAACCCTGGGACAGGATTTCAGCCCACATCGCAGGAAGCAGAAGAGTCGACCTACTCTTCTGTACGCACCCACATCGCGCAACGTTTCTTTATCGCCGCCACAGGTGCTGTACAAAGAAACTCATTTGTATGGGGTTGACAAGTCCTTGACGTATCCTGGGGTTCGCATATGAGCTAACAGTTTATGTTATTAGAGATACCCATTCAAGATTTGTGCTTGCGTGACAAACCATCCCTAACTACAACACGGCTATCATCTACCTCTCCGCTATTACTACTGGTTTCAGGGACTATTTATGCTGATTAGTCTGGGAAATGAGATATTTCAATCTCTGGTATTTGTAGGGCTACT